GATGTGAACCTACCCATGGAGAAAGGAAAGGAGGCACACATGGCTGCCAGCAGGCTAGGGGAGGGGTCCGGGGTGACTTGACAGCTCTCCATCAACAGTTGGTTAGCTACACAGGTAGATGCATTTGTCTGGGTACTTAAATTCTATATGTTTCAGTGTATGTCAATTATTGCCACTCAACTGGAAGTTTTTTTTTAATTAAAAGAAAAACAGGCACAGGATATGAACGGACAATTCCAGAAGAGGAAAGCTGAACGGCTAATAAATATTACCGAAAAACTCATCAGAAAAATGCAAATCAAAACTACATACCACTTTTTGCCTATTCCAAAATGCTGAAACAAAACAAACCCCAGAGGACAGTCTGAAGATGTAGGGAGACCAGAGTCCAGAGCCCTACACAGCCTAGAGGCCCTGCATGCAGAGCCAGGTAACTCCCATCCGCAGCACACAAGGGTCCTAGATGCTGGGCTGGGACATGGCTCACAAAGACAGGCTGTCAGATGCACAGGTGCAGTAGGGAATGGGCTATAGTAATCAGACAGCAAGGGGCAGCCCAGAGACCAGATCTTAATATTTTTTATACACTCATCATGTTTTTGAGAAAAGGACACTTTTATGAAATAAAATACTATTTATCAACACTTTAAATATACACATAATCTACTATGCTAAGAATGAATGTTTGTGTCCCTTCTAAAATTCTTATGTTCGATCTCAACCCTCAAGGTGATAGCTTTAGGAAGTGGGGCCTTTGGAAAGTGATGAGGTCATAGGGATGGAGCTCAGGAATGAGATTTGTGCCCTTAGAAAGAAGGTCCCTTCTACCATGTGAGAACACAGTCTTACCATCTATAAACCAGAAAGGGGCCCTCACCAGACGCCGAACCTGCCATGCCTTATCTTGAACTTCCATCCTCCAGAACTGAAACTTAGGTGTCTGTTGTTTATAAGCTACCAAGTGCATGATATTTTGTTATGGTAGCCCAAGTGACACAGGGACACGTGTCCATGCAGAGACCATGAACAGGAGGAGATTCAGCAGGAGGAATGGAGCACAACCTCACCCTGACAGGGAGCTCCCTTTATGTGAACCCTCCCATGGGGTCCTCCCCTGAGAGTGACTTCCCCATGTGTCTGCAGACAGAAACCACAGAAGGAACCTGCTGATTTCTACTAAATACACAGAGTCAACTGCAGCAGGAATGGTAGCCCTTCAGTGTTCCAACAGCCTCTGCTATCTTTATTTACCCAACATACCCCTGCAGGAAACAGGTCTGGATAAGAGTGCAGACAGCATGCCCTAAGGACGCTGAGGTGCCTAGCCAGCCCTCTCATGGGTTCCCATTCCCCAACCACCATTCACCAACTACCAATCTCCCAAAACTTAGTATTCTTACCTGTAAAATGAGAATAATTATAGTACTTGATTTCTAGGGCTAACATCGGTATTCCACAATCCACATAAAGCACTAGGGACTGAGCTCAGCAAATAGTAAGAGCCCTATACATGCTGTGGTGGCAGCTATTACCATTATTTCACACTTGGTGTCACCAGAGTAGATGAAGGAAGTGAAGTGGGGTAGTGAGGAGCAGTGCTCAGAGAGAGGGCAATTACTAAGTTACAGGGCATGGCCACAGGCCCCAAAGACCGTAGCTATTGGTGCCCTGTGGTGTCTGGAGAAGAGAAAGCATCGCTGGTCGTCCGCCCTGGCTGAGAACAGCCCCTAGGTCCAGGGACAGGTGTGAAGAACCAAAGATGACAAAACCACCAGGATTGACAAAATGCCCTAAAGACATGGGGCCCAGAGCTCCGGTGCTGCTTCCTCTGTGGGAAGAGGGATGCACCACAAGGTCAGCACACCACAACCACCTAGTAGCCTAATCAGATCAGTCTAAAGTATACTCTGTGATACCTCAGAGGAGATCCGGGTGCAACCTGGAGCCTCTCCTTCCATCAAGCCCACCTCAGGAGTTTCTGAGACTTGCAGCCAAGAGTCTTGACTGTACCACACATTCTGCAACTGTTAGCTAACATCAAATCTTTCCAGTGCCCTCACTCCTCTACACAAGTAAAGGGAGGAACTCTTCAAAAGTAATGTCTAGGAGGCGGATGGGTAGAGAGCCAGGACCGCAACCAAGGGCACTGGGTGTGTGTGAGCCGTGCCCTCGCCTTTCTCGGGCCAAGCTTGACTGCCAAGAAGGCAGACTCTTGAGTTGGGGCCACACTGAGCTGACAGAAGGCCCTGCCATGCTACCCATACACACCAGGGCTTCCGGTAAACGGCTGCTGACTGACATTATGTGTAATTGCAACCAAGTACACAAGACTAGTACCACCAAAATTGCAAGACAGTTGTGTGATGTTGTTTGATTTCTGCCTCAATTTACCTTACCAACAGTAAGCCACAGAGAGTTCAAATTAGCCACACCGGAGAGGTGGATAGGCCCTGCAAGGACACAGAGGTGATCTATTTCAGAAGCAGCACCATGCAGAATTCAAAAAAAGAACAGAATGCATTCTAGAATACATTTCCACTGGGCATCTCTGATATTGTTGGTATTCCTCATCATTTGCTTTAAAACAAACAAAAAAGACTCAGAACACATTTTGAGAAGATTAGAGTGCATCTGACTCCACGGCTCTACCCCACAACCCATTTCATACTACAAATTCAATTCCCAAAAGCTAGGAAAACCGTTCTTTCCTAACTCATATGACAGCAAAACTTGGTCTATCACAAACCCACTTGGGATAAAAACCTGACATGAACTGACATGGGGCTAATTACAGACTTTAATTGTCCCACAGTGAGAATATGTGTTCATTTAACTACAGCTACAGTAGCGTGCTCGATTACAGAATCCTTTCCCAACCCCTCTGAGAGTATCCCATGATATACAGGATATATGCTGCATTATCTTTCTGAAGCCTGAAAATTCCGGACATTGTGAACACGTATACCCAAGGGCTTCAGATCATGGGCCCTCCCCATATTTATACAAGACAGACTGAATTCCCACAGCCTATGGTCTAAGGTTGCTGTCCAGGCAAAACATATTTAAGGATGTTTATATACAATACTCAATACAGGTTTCTTACCCTTTTTCAGTTCAGAAACAGGCTTCAAAATACTTAAGGCTGCAAGCCACCTATTAAGTTTAAGAGGAGGAAGTCTACGGCTCATGAGTGCCCTGGTTATTTTTTACCACCGGACTTGCCTAGAGAGCAAAGGGAAACAAGTTCCTTCTCACAGTCACAGCATTTGCCCACACTTCCTGGCCCAACTTCCTGGTATCAAGTGACATGGTGAGTTTCTTTCTTTATCCTTTTTTACCTGAACCTTTCTCTCCTGCCAACCCAGACCACCTCCCATCTGCACTTCCTCTCAGGACCCCAGGAAGGGTGCATTCTCCATCCCTCCCACCCAGGCATGTAATCATCTGCTTGGCCCCTCTGGAGGTCATAATTCTGTCCCCAAGGATTTGTCCTGACTCTGCCTTATCTCTCAGCCATTTGAATATGTATCTTAAGTTCCAGAAACCAGGTCCTATGCACTATGGGTTTTTTAAAGAATGAAGAAAACTGCCTGGTATTTTCAGGATAAATGAGTCGATTTGGGGGAACTTTCCTCCTTCTAACAGATGTAAGAGGAGTATCACACTTCAGCCCCCACCTCAAAAGGAGAAGCCCCTAAGGTTTTCTCATCAAGTCACACCCAAAATCTGTTGGACCACAAAAGAGACAAAATGTGATAGTGCTACACAGAATGTGCCCTCAGGCCTTCTGGAATAGATAGAATTTGGGGCCAGGTTCCTGCCTGGCCATAAGGGTGACTACCTTATCAGGCCAGCCCTCCATTCCTGAGAGCTAGCACAGACCTGGAGAGGATGGGGCTTTACCATCGTTCCACCCCCTCCCCATGCCAAGGCAGCAGAATCCAGTCATGTTTCAGCAGAGCGCCAAAGTCAACTGTTTAGTCAGTGAAACACAACACAACCCCGGGCACCACAGGACAGAAGATGTAAGAAAACCCAGAAGACAGAACAGGCCCCACTGACACTGATGATGAGTTCTGTGACGCAGAGAGAGGACACTCAGGAAGCTAGAGACAGCCCGAGGAAACAAAGCTGACAAAAGACTGACTCGAGAATATGTGGGCTCAGTGACTTGCCCGCCCTGTAAGCTCTACACATATCACAACTATTGGCTCGGCTTCCAGTAACACACGTGGAATCACAAACAAGTAGATGACCAAAGGAAGATCTGTCTACCCTTCACCAACCCCTAAGTAGGGCACGAACACAACAACCTGTGCCACCACCAGCTGAGTTCCCTAGAATCCAGGAGAGCCGGCCTGACGTCCAAAAGTTCAGTCCTGCTCCCTCCAGCACAAAGCAAGATACGAAGTCAAGAGCTATGGTTCACACCCACCTCACTGACTCCAGCCTTCTGGCCCCTCCCTCAGGCTCAACTGTGGCCTCACCCAAGCTACCAGCCTGCCACCATCCCCCGCCTGCTGTCACATCTTCTCCGACCCTGAGGAGGTCCCTCCAGCCCCGCGGCTCCTTCTGTGACTTCCTCGCCCCAGCCGGACCAACTCCGACGGCAAGAAAGTACCCAACTCAGACTCACCCTCGGCAATCACCTCCCCAAGCCCTGACCTGTGCCCCCGGAGGCGACCCTTCCCCGGCCAGACCCTGATTCACACACCCTGCAGTGACCCTCGGGCCCGGCTCAGTCTCATGCTCCTGGCGGTGACCCTCTCCGCCTGGCCCTGACCCACGCCCCAGGATCCTGACCGACGACCCCCGCGGTGACCCTCCCGTAGGTCTGACCCTGCCCCCAGAGGTGACCCCATCCAGACCCCGACTCCCGCCCCCGGAGCTGACTCTGCCCTGGCCTGGACCTGCCCCCGGAGATGACCCTCCACCCCCGGCTGACTCTGACCCGGCGACGGCCCCCAAGACCGGCCGCATGCCGCCGACCCAGGCCTCACCCTCGGCCAGGACCCGCCGCACCCGCAGCCGCAGCTCGCCCAGCTCCACCGTCTGCCCCACGAAGTCGCTCTGGTCGCGGCCCGCAGCGCCGCCCAGGGAGCCAGGGCCCGCCAGGAAGTCAAGCGCCGACTGCAGCAGCGACATGGCGGCGGCTCCGCACCCGCGACAGCCGGAGCGGCGGGGCTCAGTCTCCCGCTCCGTCCGGGTCTGCTCAGCAACCGCCGGCGCGGAGGTTCTCCATCTTCCGCCCCGACGCCGTGACGTACCGCGCGAGGACGCATCGCGACGGACGGCGCCGCGGCCCCGCCCCCGCCGGCTGCGCGCCAGGCCGGAAGAGCGCCCGGGGTTCACTTCCGCCGCGCGGGCGGGGCGCGCAGGCGTAGAGGAGTCGGTGCGGGTGGCGTGTGCGCCGTGTTACCGGTCTCGTGACGAACTTCTGGCCTGGGAGCTCTCGGGGCGTGGTTGACGGGAGCGGAGGCCCGCGAAAGAGTGGCCGCGGCGATTCCCACCCAGGTAGTCAAGCCCCAGCACGGCTCCCAGCCGCTCCCATTTTGCTTGTCTCTGCTCGGCTTTGTGTACGCGCTTCGCCATCCCCAGGGTGGAGTTCGTCTTCCTCTTGCTGATGACTCCGCGCTCGCGAGTGGGTTCAGCGGGCTTGGGAGCGAGTGAGTTAGTGGACGTTAGGCACTCAATAAATGTCTGGCTTTTGCCTCGTAGAGATGGGGATCTCCTGTGATAGTTAGTGAATGAGACTGATAGCACTGTTGATAGTTCTAGCTTCCTTGCCATCCCACCCCTCACTCCCAGGGCACTGGACCATAGTCTAGGCTGGGGCAGTGACCGACAACAGGAGCCACGGGCTGGGCAATCTTCATTCTGAGAGGCCCCCGGAACCCCCCAGGTTCACTCGTACTCTGACGTTTTCCAAGATGAAAGCAGGTCCTCTTGGACCAGCTGAAAGGGTTCACAATGCCCGGTGGTTTGGGGTTGAAAAGGTGGCTTTCCTTATAATGAAGAGATGACCCGCAGACATGCATTTTTATGTTTTGGTCCACACAGTGTGAAAGGGAATTAGTTGCTACTATTTAAAGACTGAAAAGTGTAAGCTTTAAAAACCTAGATTACGCCTGTAATCCCAGCACTTTGAGAAACCGAGACTGGACGGATTGCTTGAGGTTGAGACCACCTGGGCCACATAGCGAGACCTCATCTCTACAAAAGAATAAAAAAATTACCCAAGCGTGGCGGCTCGTGCTCCTAGACCCAGCTACTCGGGGAGGCTGAGGAGGAAGGATTGCCTGAGCCCAGGAGGTCGAGGCTGGAGTGAGAAGAGTAACAAATAAATAAACAAACTTTTCTACCTTCTATAGAAAAATCAGATCTGGACCCAGTATTGGACCCAGGATCTCATGTTGCCAGTCATTTAGAGCAGCCTCCCTTAGGTAAGACAACCATTCTCCTGGCAAAGTTGGCTCTTTGTGTTACCTGCCCTGTTCCTATAGTCATTTGAGGTTGTAACCCTTATATTGAGTATTTGTTCACAAACTCAGAAATGAATTCTAAGGCTCAAATCAGCATCTGAACTCTCCCAGAATTTAAAGCTATTAAAAATATTTTTTGAGACAGCCTAACCACCTGTTATCTTTATAATTAAAAGGTAGCAGGCTCAATTCTTTGGATCACTTAATTCTAGTTATGGAATCAAGTGTTGCATGATTTTAGAATCACAATAAAGCCAAATGAGATCTTTGTACTCATTTTTGAAAAAGATAATGATAGCAATAGCTTTTTTTTTTTTTTTTTGAGTTGGAGTCTCACTCTGTTGCCCAAACTGGAGTGCAGTGGCACACTCCCGGCCACCGCAGCCTCAACCTGCTGGGCTCTGCCGATCCTTCCACTTCAACCTTCCAAGTAGTTGGAAGTATAAGCACGCGCTACCATGCCTGGCTAATTTTTAATTTATTGTAAAGACAAAGTCTCGTCAAGTTGTCCAGGTGGGTCTCAAACCCACAGGCACAGGCAATCCACTCGCCTTGGCCTCCCAAAGTGCTGGGATTATAGGCTGAACTACCAAGCCCGGCCACCAATAGCTTAATTTATGTGTTTGTTTGCTTACAACATCCTTTTATATAATATGTTTGTTTTTCCTTTTTAGACAGTCTCACTCTGTCACCTAGGCTGGTGTGCAGTGGCACGTCCATATCTCACTGTAGCCTCAACCTCCTGGGCTTCGGCAATCCTCCTACCTCAGCCTCCCAAATAGTTGGGACTACAGTCACATGCCACTGCACTGGGCTAATTTTTGTATTATTTTAAAATATGAGGTCTTGCTATGTTTCCCAGGCTGGTCTCAAACTCTTGGTCTCAAGGAGTCCTTCCACCTCAGCCTCCCAGAACACTAGGATTACAGGTGTGAACCACCATACCCAGCCTATAATGGTTCATAATTCCAACAGTTAATGACCCTAAAAGATCTTTGTGAAGAAGGCACTCCCTTTATTTTTGGATGAGAAAGCATACTCATCAATGTCATTGCATGGTTAGGTCAATAAGTCATACAACTAGAATTCAACACAAGTCATATGGCTTTTCCAACCAATGCGTTTGTCTGGCAAACTGAAATACGAGGATTGGGAGCTCAGGAAACAGTCTTTGCAAGAGGCAGATATTTGGGTGTCCTCAGTATATAGGTGACAGTTGGCTCTAGGAGCTGAAGAGAGGAGCAACAGAGACAGTGTAGTTAGACATAAAGAGGTTAGAATCTTCGTAGAATAGAACAGCATATGGAGAAAGAGCAGCCAGGGAAGCAGGAAGAAAACCAAGAGAGTATTAGGTCATGGAGCCAAGGAAAGAGGATGTTTCCAGAGGAAAAAAAAGAGATAGTTAAAAGTGGTCTAATGCCACTTACAACATCCTTTTATATAATGTGTTTGTTTTTCTTTTTTAGACAGTCTCACTCTGTCACCTAGGCTGGTGTGCAGTGGCGCGTCCATAGCTCACTGCAACCTCAGAAAAGGGACCGAAAGATATTTGTTGGGGCTGGGTGTGATGGCTCATGCCTGTAATCCCAGCACATTGGGAGGGGAGGCGAGAGGATTGCCTGAGCAGTATGGCAAAACCTCATCTCAACAATAAATCAAAAAATAAGCTGGGCGCATGCCGGTGGTTCCAGCTACTTGAAAGGCTGTGGCAGAAGGATCACCTAAGTCCAGCACTCCAGCCTAGGTGACAAGAGTGAGACTCTGACTCGAAAAAGATGTGTGTTGGACTTGTTCTCAACGAATCATTGGTTACCTGACCAAGAATCATTCATTGATATGGTGGGGTGGAAGCTGCACGTTACTGAAAGTAGAACAATGAAGAGTTGAAGATGTAGAGATGGCAAATGGAGATTACTCAAGAAGTGTGGCTGTGGAGAAGAGAGTATGGGAGCTGCAAGGGTGATGTTTTCGGGTGGGAGATTCTGGAGCAGCCTAAAGCTGATGAAAGGGAGCCAGTAAAGAGAAGGTTCACTGGTACAGAGAAGAGAAAAGGAACAGGGAAAGGCCCCTTAGAAGACAGGAGAGGAGTGACATCCAGAGCATAGGTGGAGGTATTTGCTTTGGGTGTAGGAAAAACTTTTTCTTCAGAAAAGCACTTTCTTAGAAGAGTAGGAAAGGTAGAAAAATAGGTCATCATTGCAGTTAACTTTATGTATTTATTGGAATAAGGTGAAGGAATTCCCTGATAGCTTCTGTTTTCATTGTGAATGCCGAAAAGAAAACAACTGAAAGTGAGAGGGGAGGTAGGAACCCCAAGGTTTAAGCAGTACGGGAAAAAATCTAAAAGAGATATTATGGTAAACCTAGTGAATAATTCACTGGAAAGCATGACAGTTTGAGGCTCAATTGAGTTTGGAGGCCATGAACTTACACTGGCAAGACCTATAAGATAAAGTGGAGAATTCTAAATCATGTAATTATTTTGGAAACCAGAGTCTACTCAGACTGTAGAGTACCTCTGTTGGCACTGCAGTAGATACTATAGTAAAACCATCTTAACCCGTATCTGTATCTCCATACTCTTCTCTCCTGAACTGTTAGATATTTTTTCTAGATAGCTCACCATATATATCTAAGAGCTGAATTTGTGGTCTTAATCCCCATACCTGTGCCCCTGTAGTAGATTTCATACCAAAGTTTACAAGAGATTAATAAGATCATTTCATAGTGCTGAAAGGGGGAATTCATCAAAAGAACATAACAATCCTAAACGTTTATACTTCTACTAACAAAGTTCTAAGGTATATGAAACAAAAACTAATAGAACTGCAAGGAGAAATAGAAAAGTCACAATTGTAGTTGGAGAATATTCCTTTCTCAATAAATGACAGGACAAATACCCAGAAGGTCACTAAGGATATAGTAGATTCAACTCCACCTAAAGAATATCTATATTGGGCCGGGCGCAGTGGCTCATGCCTATAATCTCAGAATTTTGGGTGGCCAAGGTAAGAGAATTGCCTGAGTTCGCAGGTTCAAGGCCAGCCTGGTCAATTTGGTGAGACCTCATCTCTACGATAAAATAAAAGAAAAAATTAGCCGGGCATGGTGGCGTGTGCCTATAGTACCAACTACTTTGAAGGCTAAGGCAGAGGGATCACCTGAGCCCAGCAGGTGGAGCCTGCAGTGGCCATGAATGTGCCACTGCACTCCAGACTGTGCGACGAAGTGAGATTCCAACTCAAAAAAAGAATATCTATAAAAAATACTTCTCACAATAATAGCAGCATACACAAACTTTTCAAGTGCATTAAAATATTCACTAAACCAACCAGGCTCAGTGGCTTAGCCTGTAGCCCCAGCACTTTGGGAGGCCGAGGCAAATAGATTGCCTGAGCCTGCAGGTTTGAGACCAGACCGGGCAATTTGACAAGACCTTGTCTCTACAATATGAAATAAAATGCTATTTATCAACACTTTATATATACACATAATCTACTATCTAAGAATGAATGTTTGTGTCCCTTCTAAAATTCTTATGTTCCAGCCGGGCTCGGTGGCTCAGCCTGTAATCCCGCGCCTTGGGAGGCTGAGGTGAGTGGATTGCCTGAGCCCGCGGGTTCGAGAGCCACCTAGGCAACTTGGCGAGACCTCATCTCTACAATAAATCAAATTTAGCTGGGTGTGGTAGTGCACACCTGTAGTTCCGGCTACTCAGAAGACTGAGGTAAAAGGATCACCAGAACCCAGCAAGTCATCGCTGAGGTGGTCATGAATGTGCCACTGAACTCCAGCCTAGGTGACTGAGTGAGACTCCAGCAAA